AGGGAAAAAATTGAGCTTGGCATAATATCTAAATTTATTAATTATATATTAAGCAATGTCTGTACCAAATTTGGTGCTTTTACCACAAAATGCACAATCCTTCTGATATTATACACATATCTGCTGCACTAAATGATAATAAGTATGATTCATCATAACAAGTAAATGAAGTAATATATTATATATATATATATATATATATATATTTATTTATAAATAATAAGGAGGCACATTCGTGAACCTACGAGTAGACAATCTTCACTCCGCCCTTCAGGTTGCTCGGCGCCTGGAAGTGACCTTTCCCGCGACCTCCGGCGAGCACCTGCGCCTTCACGACAAGATCCTCACATTCTGTTGATAAAACAATGAAGATGGCGGCGTTGCCGTCGGTTACCGAGCGCGGAGGGATCACTCACGGAAACTGCGCGCGCTCGCGTGTACGGTACGGCAGCCGAAACACGCCGGGCCGTCCGCCTTGTCGCCCGTCTCGTTAATTGATCATAATTAAATAAATTTATTATTTAAATTTGTTAAATTAATCATTAAAATTTATTAGTTAATTAATTAATCATCGTTGCCGCTGCCGCATACGGTTATCACGCGAATTTTAAACGTTCCGTGGCGAATGTGTCGCGTGAGCGAACGAATGCACACGAACGCTCGCACGTTATGTAGAACTATGAAATCTAGGGCGACCATCGCCCGGTCGTCACTGTACTCCAATATCAGGAGCGCGATTCGAAGTAGGAACAAAGGAATCGAGTTGAATTATTCATCGAGTGAAACACTAGACGTTTGCACAAACAAGTCGGCGGAGAAGGGGCGAGCGCATTTACAAACTCGCTCGCGAGGCCCATCGTCTCGCCGTCTTGCATCGTTAGTACGACACACACGCATGCGGCAGACATGTCGCTGCTAAGATGACACCCACACACCGACTCAAGATGCAGCGAATGACGCTCTAACTACCAACTAATCACTAACTTACTGCGCGGCAACAACGCATCGTCTTGTCGTTTTACGACGCACGTGCGAATTTTTTTCGTGCACAAAATCGCCGTCGCATATATATGTCAGAGACTACACGGTTTTTTCACGCACACGCCAGTATTGGAAGTAAGTGTGTAAACCAACAGCCAGTTCAGATTTTGACAAGTTTTATTAGTAGACATCATTTAAGAAATAAGAGGAAGACCTTGCATGTAATGTCACCGCTGCGTATACCAGCCAGTACACAATCTGGCTACGTTAGTGTGTTAGCGCATACGCAATATATCACCAGAGGAGTTATATTTTGTGATGAATATGCATTTAAAATGGTTAGGTGGTATCTCAGCATAGATTTCCCTAATAAACTTTTATCAGTAGACCTGCGTTTATAATTAGGAGGGTAGGGAAGGGAAGGGGGGATGAAGTAGGAGTTTTGCACCCTATAGGCTGGGACGCTCTCCTAATTATAAGGACAGGTCTACTGATAACAATTAATTGCAGAAATCTATGCTGCGATATCCCATGACCATATCAACTCTATAGTCATCACAAAATATAACTCCCCTGGTGAGATATTGCGCATGCGTTAACCCACTACCGTAGCCAGATTGTGTACTGGCTGGTATATGCTGCGGGGACCTTACATACAAGGCCTTCCTCCTATTTCTTAAATGACGTCTACTGATAAAATCTTATTATATAAATCTATGCTAGAATACCTCCTCTCCATTTTAAATGCAAAATGTGTGCAAAATATTATTCTTTTCGGAAGATATTGCGCATGCGCGAGCACTGTTTTAGGCATGCAGTACGGACTGAGCAAGACCGCATAATCATAATATAGCTTGCTGGGTGAGAGAGGGTGGGATACTGAGGACAGACAGCAGGGAAGATAGCTGAGGCCGGTAGAAAGAAAAAAGGAGGATGAGCAAAGGGCAAGGGAAGCAAGGGGTAAGGGTGGGTGGGGATGAAGTAGGAGTTTTGTTTGAACCCTATAGGCTAGGGCGTTCTCCTAATTATAAACACAGGTCTACTGATGACAATTAATTGCATAAATCTATGCTGAGATACCCCATGACCATACAAAATCCATAATCATCACAAAATATAACTCCTCTAGTGAGATATTGCGCAAGCGCTAGCACACTACCGTAGCCAGATTGTGTACTGGCGGTATATGCAGCGGGTATCTTATATACAAGGCCTTCTTCCTATTTCTTAAATTAGGTCTACTGATGAAATTTTATCATATAAATCTATGCTAGAATACCTAGCATTCCCACCTTCCATATATACCGGTATACTGCCTTTTCATTTTTCACATCACCGCATTCCCTTCCTCCTCCCTCTCCACATTTCCCCTCTCCATTTCCCTCTCCCTTTCTCTATCTCGCTCCTGGTTTCTCTACTCGCATACATACATATATATATATATATATAGCAAAACCCACGAACATTAGTCAGTCCTGCTCAAAAGTTACTGGCCCCAGGCTGAGGGAGTACAAGCTGCTACTTCCAACACTAGGTAGGCATAAATTTCATGAGTACATGTCAACCTCCTAGTACACTACTCTGGTTGCCGAAGAGATTCATGCGATTTTCCTACGTTCTATTGTGATATTGAACAGGAGGAATAGCCACGGCGGCAAGCCTGTGATCGATGCTTCCCATTCTTCTAAATAATTTAAATGCGAGATTTCTTCTCGAATCTTTTATATCCCACTTCATCTCCTTTGATTAAGTTGAACAATCAACTTTATAATTGATTCCCCCCCCCCAGTTTTTTTTTTTAGCTTTTCAGTTCCCATTTCGTAGATTTGATCAAACTTGACAGGCAACTCTTCCGTATGCTATAAGCACATCAATCTCACAGCAACCTAAAGTGTGTAGAGAGACCAAACATTTACACCTTCGCTTTTGTCGTGTCGAAAATGTAGTGGTACCTCCACCCCACCCCCAAATTACAGCCAAGGGAACGGTGTTTATAAGTAATATTAGACACTTTTACAAGACAAACTAAGCTTACAGACAAATTTAGAGTATCATCTGCAAAATGCAGATAGATACAAGTGACAGCCAAGACTCCACTCTGATGAGAAAGGCAATCAGAGTTCATTTGCGAGCAGAAATACTCGATTGTAAACACACACACACATGCACGCACGCACGCACGCACGCACGCGCATTGTGTAAATCAACGGATGTTAAGGAAACAAGGTCGAACTTCAAACAATAAATGTCAGTTGGGATTAATACCACACCTAAGCATGAGTAAGAAATGCCTGTGTAAGCGATAGTAGTATCACATAGTGGGGAAATTAAAATGGTACTAAAATAGGAACAAACCTGGTCTGTTACCGCTCTCTTTCCCTACAGAGCAAAATGCAATTGCGTTTCATTACATACGTTCATACATACATTCTAATAACGTTCACAGGTAAAAATACCAACCAGCATTTTACTAAATTAGTGAGTTTACATGGGCATGTACTATAGTACTCTATGTACGATCAACCACAAATGGCAGCTGTAGCAGAAAAAAACAAGGAATTGAAAAACAAGGAAAGGGACCCTAACCCCTAACCCTAACCTAAATGACATTAAACCACAAACTAATATATAACCATGACCATATGTTATTATGACCATTAATGACATTAAAGTTGGGAACACTCTTAATGGAGTATCACCCGAAGATTGCCAGCAGTAGCAGAAGGAAAGGATAGCGAAATAGGTGGACAGCACAGCCGATCTAATTATACGTTATATCCGTGGAGCATAAATAAATGCCAACAGTGAGCTGGCATCTATTTATGTGCCCTGTGCGAAACACTACTGACCAATCTTAAATGTAAGACATAGTACAGCAGGGTTCTCCCCAAGCCTTTTATGCATGTCGGGTATGCCATGCCTTCAAAACTAATTTGCGACATCTCACAAATCCTCGGACATGTCTTAACTGCCTAATCGACATGCTTTAATTACCAGCTTTGTTTACTGTTTATTATTGGCAATGCCAACAGTCGTGTGTGTTTTTTTTCCACAGCTTGATGTATACATCTCCAAACTGCATACATGTGCATTTGGGTCTCTTAGTGTAATTCACTCAAATCGGTACAACCACCTCCCGGCGCCTCCCCCCATGCATCCACACACGACATGCCATTTAAAATTCCTGGGTAGAACCCTGCACAGGATATACAATTTCAAAATTCATTTTCGAATTTAATCCACCATTATTAAATGACATAGTTTGCGCCCAATGCATGCCATAAGATGTAATTCATGGAAATGTAATGCATGTAACTTAATGCATGTAATGCCATGCAGTGCTATAAGATGTAAGCGTGAATTTAGTTACTGTGCGACCCTTGACCTTTCTACTATAGTTAAGCTTTTTATGCAATATAAACCAGTTAGATGAACACCAAAGCCAAGCCTGAAAAAAATCTGAAAAAGCCGAGTGAAAAGTGAATACAGCACTAACGATCAGCAGTATCTTACTACCAGAAATGAGTGCTAATGAGTAGATGGCATTATAACTCGTAACAAACCTGGCGTGCATCTATTCCGCTTCCCTGGAGAGCAAAATGCAATCATTACATCTCTCAAAGTGCATTTATTTTTAAACATCCTAAAAATCATCCTAACATTCTGTACCATGGCCTTGAATTGCATCTGGAATGTATATAAAATCTAAACACAGCAGATAGAAGAAGGGGGGGGGGCGAGTCCAGTGAGGATGAAAGGAGCCAGGGACAGAGAGAAAAGGGGAAGAAAAAGACAGGCCTGAGAGAGATTCCGAAAGACTTGTAGATGTAAAAACAGGAACTGGTAACATGCAAAAATAGCAGTTTGATATTGGATCTAGCCAAGATATAATAAAATTCACCATATATGGAGCTCAACACAAACCAACTAAATAGCTAGGTGTGCGCACAGGTCTAACATCTGTGCTCTGTGTTATGATATGATCCCCTCCCTGCAGTATACGTGGCCCATCATATAACACAACAATATTATAAGCACACTGCAGTGCCTTGGAGGAGGAAATGTGAGAAAAACATTCTGTTGCCACACTCCAGATAAAAAATAAAAAATCTACAGCTGGGCTCGGTCAAGGACAAAATTTCTAGAACTCCTGTGACACATATTTCTGAACAGACAGCGGTAGAACCTAATAATCCCAATAACCTAAAATATAAATGAGGGTTATCGCTTAACTTCTAAGTTCTAGTTGGCACTTATTTCAAGAATCCACGTTAGATAACAGCGATCAATTTTCAACAGATTATTACAGACAAGACAAAACAATTCGATTCCAAATTTCCAGACACAAATAGTATGAGATCTTATTTTCTAATTTCATACAGTGATATTAAGTAAAGTAGGGTGATTGACAGTGCATGCCACAGAGCAACAACAGGCCAGTGCTGATTTTGTTACGTTGATTACACATAACGGTTGGGTTTACAACATTGCAAACTTCTCATGCTCGCGTGGGCCCAACCAAACAATTATATACCAACTATTGCTATGCAATTAAATAGTACCACTATATATATATATCAATCATCCTATCCAATCACCATCCTGGACATCATCTCTATCCTTGAACCAACATATGTACATGTTCAAGCTACCGATGTGACATTGTGAGTCGGAAACGGACAAATTTGAGTAAATTCAGACTACAAGAATTTTAGTTTACATTGGGCAGACGGAGGACATGAAGTTACAAATGAAGTATTCCTTTGACATTACCTAGTTCCTTTGCCACTTCGTATGCCTCATCTGGTGTAGAGGCAGTGCCACTACGAGGCACATTAATGCCTGCCTCTCGCATAAGGTCCATGCTCAGGTATTCGTGCAGGGACAGGTGACGTCTGTGCTGACCAAATAAGCATGGTGCCACTGCTAAAATCTAGAATTAGATATAATAATATATATATATAATATTATATTATGTACGTGCACAGTGCTGTGGTTATGATCCTGTAGTCATGACTTAATAAAGAATGTGCGATGGAGAGTGAATTGACGGTACAGTATGGTACAAAGATAGAGAGCATGGTTGATACACAAGCACTTGGGCCGTTTCAATAATATAATGATGGTTAATAAATACAACTTGTCAGTACTAGACCTACCGGTACCAGTAGTAGTCTTAATGTTTGATTTGACCTAATAACTTCACTTCAATACCGTCCAATACACCGCTGCAACACATAGCGTGCACGCCATTGTGCATGCACAATTACACAGTAGTTTAGAGAAGGTAAGAAAGCGTACGCACAGAAATTCCAGAACGCTCGAATCTTTTCACAACACTAGAGACAAAATACTCAACCAAACGCCATGATATTGGCATCTGTGTGTAGCTGAATAGTCACTTGTTCGAAATATACGTCTTGCAACCTGGTACCACATACTTTACCCAGAATTATATGAGAAATCCTGCTCGAATTTGCCGCGAATTTCCCATGAAGCCGCTTCGTAAATGGGACCAACAATCCGGAAATCCCTAACCGTGCTATTAGATCCTTTGACCAATCACGGTAGTCGCCCGTGTGACATCACTTAGCGGCGACGCCGGCGTAGCTCGTCTTGGAGTTGGGCAGGCAGATGCAACTCCTCCCAGAAAGCAATGCGCCGCCATTACTCATGTATATGGCCGCCATTGCTCCCATTTACGAAGCGGCTTCATGAGAAATTTGCGGCAAATTCGAGCAGGATTTCTCATATAATTCTGGGTAAAGTATGTGGTACCAAGTTGCAAGACGTATATTTCGAACAAGTGACCATTCAGCTACACACAGATGAGAATATCATGGTGTTTGGACGTGTATTTCGTCTCTAGTGTTGTGAAAAGATTGGAGCGGTCTGGAATTTCTGTGCGGACGCTTTCTTACCTTCTTATCACTGTGTATTTGTGCATGCACAATGGCGTGCGCGCTATGTGTTGCAGCGGTGTATTGGACGGTGTTGAAGTGAAGTTATTAGGTCAAATCAAACATTAAGACTATTACTGGTACTGGTACTGGTAGGTCTAGTACTGACAAGTTGTATTTATTAACCATCATTTTATTATTGAAACGGTCCAAGTGCCTGTGGTCTCGCCGTCTCCACATCAGTCACTCCTAATCATGTTGTGCTGGTGTCCAACGACACACACTAGCCATGCTTAAAGTATAGAGAAAACATTAGGTCCATACTCATGGGTTTATCCTTCGACCTTAATTAAACTACCCGTCATCGGTCGAGGAGCCACAGCCGAAATGGACACTCGTTCAAGAGCCATAGTGGGGCTCATAAGGTCTATGTCCCCCAGGGTACTGCCGGAACGTACCCTGGTCACTATTTCAGTATTTGATATGGTTAGGGTTAGGATTAGGGTTAGGGTTAGGATTAGGGTTAGGGTTAGGATTAGGGTTAGGGTTAGGATTAGGGTTAGGGTTAGGATTAGGGTTCGGGTTAGGGAGTAGGCGTAGGCGACTCCCTAGACTCGTTAGTGGAGTAGGCGAGGTACGGTTCGGCATATTAGATAGTACCAGGGTACGTTCCGGTATACTGGACCGTACCCAGGGTACGTTCCGGCAGTACCCCGGGGGACATAGACCCTCTCGGCCATAGTGGGCGATTAATTCTGAACTGACCTAAGACCAAGAGCGTACGGGTACAATAACGAGACTAAATGATGAGAATCTAATTAAATCACGTTCAAATATAGTAGGCGTTCATATAGTGAATTAGTTACATGGAAAGATAAAAGTAATATACCCTTGAAGATTGGCCTAGAGCTATTTTTTCGACTAGCCTCGCACTTTTCGCTAAGAACGTCGCCATGATGGGTTCGAAACAAAATAAAGACGCGCCACCTATCGCCATAACAATCACGATTTTCGCACATACGTAGAAACGCCTAAAAACGATTTATTCTACGGTGATTTGTCTCGATAAAACACCATCGCCAAATGAAATACATATACTACCCTAGATTAAATGATAAACACGTTTAAATAAACAAACAGAAGCGGTAAAACATTGAAAAAGTGACGTCGTGATGACGTCAGTTGCACCTGTAGTAGGCACAATCGCCATTTCTCCGCAGCCTCAGCACCGCTGCATATATATAGCATCCTCATCTGTGTGTGGAGACCGTCGTTGTCAACAGGGGGGCTCACCAGAAGAGAAACACGTCGGTTCTCGTAGATGTAAGTAACAACGCTAGCGTATTTTCTGCGTTTGTTTCCTATGAAGCTGTACCTGTATTCGTGCGTTAACGCTATCCGGGGATGCTGGCGGTTGGAGCGTATAAATAAGGCACAGCATGTGCCAGTGGGCATACAGAGTTGTGACGCTTAGCCCATTATGAAACGCCGCGGTAAAGGCAGCAGCGACAGCTCGAATTACAGGAAAAGTCAATAAATGTCAGCGTTCACTGTGGATTTCAATGCAAATATGTCAGACGCGCGTACGTAACCTGGGCAGAGTATTTACGTTTGAATATATAATATAATATATAATATATTTATATATATATATAAAGTTGTGTGTCGTGTGTGGATGGTGTTGTGTGTGTGTGTGTGTGCTGTGTTTGTGTGTGTGTTGTTGTGCTGTGTGTGTGTGTGAGTGTGTGTGTGTTGTTGTGTGTGGTGTGTGTGGTGTCGTGTGTGTGTGTGTTGTGTGTGTTGTGTGTGTAATGATGTGTGGGTGTGTGGTAATACGTAACGCATAATATATTCAAGCTAGTGCTTGTGTATACGAAAGCGAAAAAGAATAGTAATAGTGCAAGAAATTAAAGAACGTTAATTAGGTTATGAAAACTAGCGAGATATTAACGGCTAATGTGATTTGACAGAGACTAAAATAGGTAGTTGCTGGTGGTTAGTAGCCTACCTGTTATAATTAACAACGTTATACACGTAACGTGCGTGTTTCTTATAGGAACTGGGGCGGAATAAAAACCAATCGCACGACACGTCGCATAGTAGTCTATATATAGTGATGCAATCTGCCTAGGTGGGTTTATGTGTGATATACAATCACATATGCGCCTCTCACCTATAACGACATAGGACAGGGGAGGTTTGTGATTGATTGCACACACGTGCAGACATATATTATATATATATATGTGCATGTATATCGATATATGCGTTGAAGCGTCCATGCACACACGCCCGCACGCTCACGCACATTCACGCTGTCGCATGCACACACGCACATTAACACACACACACGCACGCACCGCACGCCCACGCACGCACGCACGCACACAGGCACATAGGATATAACTAGAGGATTTACACTTGATGCGGGGGGGGGGGGATGGTTACGTTGCGTTATTGATTCGTCTGCTGTGGCAGGGATCCGCAAGCAAAACAACTGTATTTATAACGCAATTAATATCTAAGAAAGTGCAAATCATTCACAGCATCAGCAGCAGTAGCAGCAGCAGCAATAGCAGCAGCAGCAATAGCAGTAGCAGTAGCATCGGTAGCAGCAGCAGCAGTAGCAGCAGCAGCAGTAGCAGCAGCAGCAGTATAGTAGGAGTAGTAGCTCAGCAGTAGCAGAAGCAGCAGCAATAGCAGTAGCAGTAGCAGCCGCCGCAACAGCAGCAGCAACGGCAACAACAACAGCAGCAGCAGCAACAACAACAACAACAACGAACGCAGCAGCAGCAGCAGCAACAGCATCGGCCGCGCAGCCAGCCGCGATGATTGCATCGGCGACGGCGGCGGTAAATCTGATTTGTGCTCATTTGCCGCACACCGACCGAGTATAACGGCTGTCACGTGACCATCGTCGCCATTAGACTGTACGTATACGCAGCCTGACGAACTACATACAATCTTACGCGCGTGCTTACACCCGCTTCTCTGCTATACATGCACGCACTCCCGGCACAGTTACTGTGTGTTTGTGTGTGCGCGCGCGCGCGCGCGTGCGTGCGTGCGTGCGTGTGTGTGTGTGTGCGTGCGTGCGTGCGTACGTGTCAGTGAGTGCGTGAGTGTGCTGTGTGTATGTATGTGTGTGTGCGTGCGTTTGTGTGTGTGCGTGCGTGCGTGTGTGCGTGCGTGCGTGCGTGTGTCTGCGGTGTCGGTTGTGTCTGTGGGGAGGAGACTTAACTCCGTCAACGCCGCTATAGCCGGTAGGAGAGTCGGTTCAGATCTTCAGGAATCAAAAATTCAGGTTGGGGAGTTTAGAGTTCTATAGCACCCCCCTTCCCGGGGTCGCTGCTGCCATGTACAAGGGGCTTAATCCCGATTTGTTACGATAGTCGATACCAGAATACAGAAATCGGCATAGACCGCGATAATTCGCTGCAATATATTGCTTCAAACGTTGCAAAAACACAACTTTTTGATAAAATACCTCAAGGTAAGTAATAATGGTAAGTATGGTAAAATATTATTGTTTAGGGGGTTTTATTGAAAAATACATATGGTCGGGTTTGCATGGGCTTTAATATCTAGGTTTAACTACGGCGTTCACAGCTTGATTTCACGTCCTGGCGAGGTACTTTTATATATTATTCAAGTCCTTCTTGCGTCCCTGGATATGAGGCGCGTTATATTAATTACGACAGACGACGATAAATGTATTGCAGGAACAGTATTGCAGATGTATTGCAGGGACAGTTTTGCAGATGTATTACAGGGACAGTATTGCAGATGTATTGCAGGGACAGTGTTGAAGATGTATTGCAGGGACAGTATTGCAGATGTATTGCAGGGATAGTATTGCAGATGTTTTGCAGGGTGTATTGCAGAACAACAAGCGAGAGAATTACACCAACAGGGCGTTAATACCGGACTACCTAAATCGCTCGTCTTGTAGATTCGATTGTGAATTTATACGGGCAAGATTTGATACAGGCAAGATTTATACATGAAGAAACAGGCCAACCCGATACAGCCATAAATGAAAGAAGAAACCAGGCCAAGAATACAGCAATATTTTATATAGACAGGATTGTACAGGTAAGATTTATTACAGGGCAAAGATTTTTACAGGCAAGATTTTTATATAGACAAATTTATATTCTAGGCAAGATTTATATAGGCAGGATTTATACAGGCAAGATTCATATAGGCAGGATTTATACCGGCAAGATTTATACAGACAATATTTATACAGGCGAAATTTGTACAGGCAAGCGTTATACAGGCAAGATTTATATAGACAATATTTATACAGGCATGATTTATACAAGAAAGATTTATATAGGCAAGATTTATACAGGCGGGATTCATGCAGGCAAAATTTATATAGACAAGGCTTACGAATCGTGCATGCCACTACTCAATATTACGATGCAATCGTACGACAGAGACAGTTGTCGCACGTACGCGCGCGCGAAAAAGCAGACACACACGCATACAGCGCGCATTACACACGCATACACACGCATACACGCACACAGCGCTTAACATACAGGCGCGTACGTTCGCATACACGCACACACAGACACACAACACACACCGCACAACATCACACGCCGCGCTGCTGCGCGCATCGCGCGCACACACCACACACACACACTAGGCGGCGTAGCCAGGGGGGGCGCGTGGGGGCGGTTCGCCCCACCCCAAACGGCTCAAATAAATTTGGCCCAAAATGCTTAATTTATTTTCAACAATTATTCTTGGGGCCTGCCCAGACCCCTAGCACTGGCATGGCTACGCGCACGTGACAAACGTACGCGTTGTCAAATTTTGTCCATCAGTGCGTGCATGGTTTAATTATGCATTGTATAAATGATAGTACGTGTGTGTGTGGTTGGTCATCTGTGTGTGTGTGTATGTGTGTGTGTGTGTGTGTGTGTGTTATGTGGAATGTGTGATGTGTGTGTGTGTGTTTGGTGTTGTGTGTGTGTGTGTGATGTAGTGTATTAATGTGGTTGTTGCGTAGATGTGATTGTGCTGTAGATGTTTGTGTATATACGTGTGTGTTAGTAGTGTGTGTGTGTGCGTTGTCGTGGGTGTTTGCCCCGCCCCCCGCGAGACCAGAGGGGGTGGATGGAGTGGCGTCCGGACCCCCTTTTACCACAAAAAAAGGGAAAATCTACACACACACAGCACGCTGCGCGCCGCGCACGCACGCACGCACGACACACACTCACACACACAGACACCACACACACACACAACACACACACACACACGCCATGCACGCACCACGCACGCACGCTACAACACGACACACACAACTACTGCGCGCGCGCACACACACAACACACACACTATTTTCTTATATTTGTCTCCATGAAAAACATCTTTTGTTTAGCGCTAGTTTTTTCTGATAAAGATTTACTTATATATATGTAATTCGCTTATAAAACACTTAGAATGGCCAAAGCAGGGCTTCCGCAGGCTGTCGGAGGGACGCGATCTGATAAATTTTTGCCATTTCTAGACATCAAAAATTACTGCTCAGATGCTCTCAGAATGCCACCAATTTTAAAAGAAAAATCTTGGGCGGACGTCCCCAAACCCCCAAAGTGCGCCTTCGGCAGCTATTTTAAGACAGCCAGAAAGTAAGCATAAAAAAAGTGCCCTTTATTCTTCCTGGACAACGCCTTTTCAAAAATCTGGATCACGCCCTGTGTGTCGTGTGTGTGTGATAATTTATGTTTCGTGCGTGCGCGTCGCGCGCGTGTGTGTAAATATTATTGTGGGGCTTACGGTCGTGCCTCGCTATGTAGATGGCTTATCGCGAATCATCCCCGCCCCCAATCCTCGGTACGGATTTTTACGCCTGATTTCGCACAACTTCACGGAGAAGACAAGTGCTCATGCACTTGCCGCCCCCAAAATAAAATCCTGGCCTACGCGGCCTGCACACACCATACACAAC